GATCTCTGCTCCCTGGTCCGTCCCTGCTTCCAGAAGGAGGAAGATGCCGTTCGGGATGTGCTGTCTTCCGCTGCTCTCCAGCTGCCTTCCCTCCCCACTCTGCAACCCGGCTCTGCTAATTTGCTCTTGAGTCATACAGAGAAAGTGTTTTTCTATAAGGCGAATTTCTTGCAAATGGCTGGAATTCCTCTCTGCCCCTTTCCTGGAGCCCTGTGAAGGCCAGGGAGGAAGGAGAGGCAGCGGGCTCAGGGGGCAGCTCTGCTCCCCGGGCAGCCCCCGGCCTCGTCTCGCCCCCGCGGCGGAAGGGCAGGGATCTCGGCGCTGGCCCTCCCAGGGTTGGAGCGCCCTGAAATTCCTCGTGGCAGCTCTGAGCGAGCACATCTGGTTTTAATAAATTATTTGCAGCTTGAACTTGCCTGACTTTCAAGGGCTGCAGAAGAGAGAGGAGCAAAGAGCTCTGAGAGCCCCAGCGCGGGGCATCCACAAAGGGACCCCCCTTTGCAGTGCTGGGAACCAGTGGAGTTGGGGAGGGGGATGAGGGGGGCTCTGGGGCTGACCAAGCCCTTGGAGGGACCCCAGCAGCTGGCTGCTCCTTGCAAGAGCCGAGGGGATGGTCGGTTTGGAGGCAGGGAAACGGCCCTTCTTTTTGGCCAGGATCCTTCTGCCCACAGCTGGGTGTCGAGCAAAGCCAGGGCTGATCTTAAATATTGTGTCTCTGCGCTGAGGCAAGGAACACAGGGAGCACACTGCAGTGCAGGCGAGGGTGGCTCCCCGACACCCCCCTGCTCGGTGGAGCCCCGGCCACCAGCACTGAGCCCCCCCCTCCCAGCGCTGGACCAGTTGGCGTTTGGGAAAACCAAACCCTCAGGAGAATCAGCATCACCCGGCGACACCAAACGTGCCTGGGGCCGTGGAGGAGCTGAGCCCCCACACGCCGTCCCCAGGCTCGTCCTCGGAGGGAAGGGTGTAAATACAGGCTGGCGTCAAGCCCCACGTCCCAGCGAGGGGGGCTGCCGACCACCCCTCGCTACCCGCCATGGGGAGCGCGCCGGCGGGCTTTGGGGGGAAACCCTCTGCCTCGCTGGGACTGGGGCTGTCCTGGCCGTCCCCCGCCCGTCTCCGATGCCGGGAGAGCGACGTGGCCTTCCCCTGCTGCCGGTGCGGGGGAGAGAGGAGCCGGCAGACGCCAAGACGGCCTCTTCCCTAAGCAGTGACCTCAGCGCGGCAGCGGCTGCCAGGTGGGTGTTGATCTTGGCCCGGCCGGTCCCGTTTGGGGGCCAGGATGAGGCCGGGGCGGCGCGGACGGAGGGCTGAGCTCGCGGCGGGGCCTGGCAGGTGCTGCCGGTCCCCGGCGGGCGGGCGGCCCCCGGCTGCCGTTGCCACACCGGAGCAAAGCCCGCGGCGCCGGCAGCCCCTCGACGGCAGCTGCCTGTGGGACTTTGCTCTCCAGCACAGCTCTCCTGGAGCGAGAGCCATGGGATGGGGGGGAACACCCTTGGAAGAGCATGATCAAGCAGGACATGAGGTCTCCCTGGTGATATAACACACCCTCCATGTCCTCCCCGGGCTCTAAAACAGACCCTTTGGACCTGCCAGTCCCCAGAGGTGGCTGACGGGTTGGTGCAGATCCTTCCTTCGGAGCATCTGCCCTCAAGCCCGGTGCTACAGACACTGTTCTCATGGTCCAGGGGTCCCCACATCCTGTCCTCTAGCGCCTCTGGCACAAGCAAACACCACACGTGCCCCATAGCAGCCCCAAACTCAGTAATTCACAGGGTGCCTTGCTGCCATTGAGCACCCCGGCTTCAAAGCTGGGGTTTATTTTCCCATCCCAAATGGCTGGGTCCCACAATTCATTGGTGACGCTTATTTTCCAACCTGTGGGAAGTTGAGCATCCTGGCTGACCCGTTGTCTGCCAGCGCTCCTGACCAGCACAGACCTCCAGCCAAAGGTGGATGAGCAGCAGGGATCCATCTTGGGAAATATTTTTTTCCCAAATCCTTCTGCAGGGTGCTGTTTCACCCTGTCCCACCGCAGCCCCTTCACTGTCACCACTCCCCACCCGGTATTTTCCTTTGGCCAAAACCCAGCATTTATTTTTCCAACCAGGGGACAGACAGAGATGCTCCGACTGCGGGAATCAGCCGCAGCTGCTCAACGTCCCAAGCTCTGGGTAAGCCCCGGACCAGCCCGTCGCTCCCATCCGTCGCCCGGTGCACGGGGCTCCCCCGCGAGCGTGGCCAGCGGCGCAGTCGGCCACCCCCTGCACGCGGCTGTGGCTGTCTGGCAGCAACTCGTTAGGGCCAGAGAGGTCAGACAGCTTGGAAACGTCCCAGGGGAAGGGAAAAAATGCATTTCCTCCCCATCCACTCCAACAAGTAGCAGCTCAACTGGTACTAAATCTGATTAGCAGGAGAGCAGGTGAGGAGCTGTTGGCTCGCGTTGGAGGAATTAATTACTAGGAAGTGCTAATCATCTTCTCATTACATGCAGCGTAGGGGCCTCCAAGACATGGGATGAACCAGGCCAGGAGGCAGTGATGCTCCATGAGATCCGAAGCCTTTTGTCTCTGCTGTGTCGCCTTTTTCAGATGCAGTTCACCTCCCAGGAAAGGGACGTCGGGTTTGTCCGGGATGGATGGTGGGTCCCACTCGTGGGACTTCACAGCTCCGTCATGTCCAGCCGCTGATGCCTCGCTGGGTGCCATCCCCCAGGAGTGGTCTCCAAAATTTAGGGATGGGAGAAAAGATCTGGGCAATTCCCTCTCCTCCGGGCTGTCGTGCTCACTCCCCGTGGGCAGCCCCCAGCACGCGTCCAGCCGTGGAGGGCGAGCGAGGCTGTTCTCCCAGCACTCCCTCAATTAAAAAATAATCCCTGGCATAAAAAATCTCAACAGCCTAGACGCCGATGTGCTTAATTGGGCCCCCCCAGAGGGTTTGCATCCCGAAAGCCCGTCCTGGCACAGGTCTGTAGGTCCTTCCTGCCTTGCTGGGAAACAACGGATTCATTTATTTTCACGAGAACGTCCAAACAACACGTGGCTGGCTTACACGCGTTCCCCCCACGCCGTGCCGTCTCAGGGCCAGATCCTGCTCCCCGCTCGAGGGAGCGTTGCCATCATCTTGGCTTGATTAAAAGCCTCGTCCCGCTTGATTTTTGTACGGCGGAGTCTGAGGTGCCTCCCCCTGAGCTGCCCAAATCCCTGGAGAGCTCGAGGAGGAGCTGAGGCTCCCGCATCCTCGGGGATGCTCCCACGAGATGGGCGCCGCGGGCATCACCCTTTCCACATCGGTGCCACCCAACCTTTGCACCAGGCCACGCTGCCGTGCCACAGGCCGTGACAAGACAGAAGTTGGCCACTTTTAGTCATCAGGGAAAGGGTGAATTTGCTGCTTTTCCGATGTTTCTGAGCACAACCCTTGAGTGTGGGGGCACATAGTGGGCACCAGCCCTTGCTGGTCTTCCAGGGCTTCCCAGCAAAATCCTGAGAAAAAAAGCTCGATGTACCCAATCTGGGTCCCACCATACTTCCACATGTTCCCACTTCCCCACTCACAGCTTTCTTGAAATGGAGGAAAAACTGTCTCTCCAGCCGCCGGGCAGGGTGATGCCCGGCTGAGCCGCTGCCCGAATGGTGCCTGGCTGCCCATGGGGATTTTCTCCTCCCAAGTTACAGGGATTTGAGGCTTTTATTTGGTTCAAGCAAATTGCGATGTTGAATCTCTTCCAGGTGCCTCGGGGTGACCCGTTACCTCCAGCCAGACCTCCGGGAAGGTGTGAGCAGCTGCGCTGCTTTGGTGCTGATGGTTTTTGAGGTGTGAATGGTGTTTAACACCAAAGAAACCCCCCGAGCAGGAATCTGCGGTGCTCACACAGCTCCCATTGCAGCGGGCCTCCTCGCACAGAAACACGCAGCTCGACAGCTGTACAAAACCAGGAAAAATGCTGATTTCCAGCATTTTCCACGTACAATGCCTTCTTTGGGTGGCTTGGGGGGGGGCTGGGAAGCCCTGATTGGAGGGGAGGTGTAAAAAAAAAAAAAAAAAAAAAGTTTAAAATATATTTAAAAGTGTTTCAAAGGCTTTTATACTCAACTCTTGGATATGGGACATATCTCCATCGGACACTGTGTGATGGTCTCTGCCCCACGCTCCTCGGCAGAGCACAGGGAAGCTGCAGCAGCACCCCCACCGCTGGAGGGAGGAGGCTGCTCCCCGGGCAGGGCGGGTGGCCGGTGCAATGAGCTGTGTCCGGCCTCAGCAGCCCCCGTCCATCGGCGGGACGGGAGCCGCTCGGCTCTGTGCTGCAGGGATGGAGGGAGGAGGATTCTGCTGGGTCGGCTCGGCAGTGCTGTGCTTGGGATGGAATAACCCCTCCAAGCACCCAGAGGTGCAACCGAAAACGCGCGGGAGCAGCCCTTGGCTCTTCTTGGCGTGGAGATGGGCTCCCACGGGCTCCCACGCCGAGGTCCCGGGTCGGGCAGGGCAAGGCAAGGCGCTTTGCTTGCGGCGTGGGACCGGGGGGCATCTCCCACGCACCCTTGGCCTCGCTGCGGGGGCACCGCGGCCCCCTCGGGGTGCGGGGGGGGGGGGTGGGGGGGGTGGGGGTGCTGCGGGGCCCCAGCCCTCCCCGCGGCTTTGCGGGGATCCCCCACCCTCACCCCCCACCCCACCCGGGGAGTCCCTCGGCGGAGCCCCCACCAGCACCAGCCCCCCCCGGCCCCCTCCCTCGCCCTTTTGGGCTGGGCCCACCGGCGAGGCCCGCGCGGCTCCCGCTGACGCAGTGTCTGAGGCCGGCGCACACGCTTCGGTTGTTTTTGTTGTTTTTTTATTTTTATTTTATTTTTTTAACTTTTTTTTTTTTTTCCCCTTCTTCTCCCTCCCCCCCCCCCCCCCCCTTCTCCCCTCCCTCTCTCTTTTCGGTGTCCCTCCTCCTCCGTCGTCTCCCTCCCTCCCTCCCTGCCCGCCCCTCCGCCGTCCCCCGGCGCGGGAGCAGCGAGGCGCGGAGCGGCGCGGAGCGGGGCAGCGCGGGGCATGGGGCGCGGCTCGGCGGGACCGCGGCCCCTCCGCGCCCCCCTGTGCTGCCTCCTCGGCCTCCAGCTGGTGCTCGGCGCTGCGCACCCAGGTGGGACCGCGGCTCCCTCCTCCTGCCAGACCCCCCCCTTCCTCCCACCGCCCCCGTCCGCGAATTAGTTATTATTGGGGGGGTGGGGGGGTGGCGGCGAGGAGCGAAAACAGCGTGGGGAGGGATGGGGGGACACCCCCCCCCCGGCTCCCGCCCCCCCCCCCCCGCCCGGCTCTGCGGGGCGCTGCCTGGGGAGAGTATTGGGGGGGGGGGGGGGGGAGGGGGGTCGCTTCGCTCCGGCGCGGTTCACACCGCTCCAGTTTATTTTCTCCCGGAATGTTTTATTTGCTTTTATCGCGGTTTGTTTTACTTCATCCTCCCTCGGTCGCGGTTCGTTCCGCCGCGTTTTGTTTTCTCCAGTTTTCGCCGCGTCGTGTTTTCTCCCCGTTCCGCCGCGTTTCCGCTCGCTTTTATTATTTTTAGTTTAACTCCCCGCGCCGTGCGGCCACGCAGCGTCTGGCGAGCCCGGCGGAAACGCTTCCGCGGCCGCGGGGGGGGCGCGGGGGGGCCGGGGGCGGCCGCCGGCCCGCAGCCCCGCTCCGGCCTTTTGTCTCCCCGGGGAGCGCAGTTCGCGGAGGGGGAGGTCGGGAAGGGGCCGAAGTGTTTTGTTGGAGGTTTCTTCCCTCTCCCATCCTGACCCCCGCCCCCCTCCCGGCGTGTTAATCCTATAGAAAAGCTCCCCGCGGGATCGGGGCCCGAGTGGGTATTCACAGATTTCCTTTTCTTTTTTTTCTTTTTTTTTTTTTTTTTGTAACTTCTCACAATAAAGTCAATGGGTTGTATTTTTTTCCCTTTTTTTTTAAACCTTCTGAAGACACCATGTGCCAGATGCCTGAGGCTCCTCGGGACGGCCCCTGGAATTGCCATTTGAGACACTTTTTACCCCAGAATAGTCTCGCACAGAAGCGAGGAACGGCGTTTGTTGCTTACTTGGCTTAAGTTGGCCCTATTGAGAAAACTTTTTTTTTTTTTTTTTAAAAAAAAAAGAGCAAAATTGGCTACTTTTGCCTGAACAATAACAGCCATAAACCCTTGGCCTGTTTTATTAGAGTCCGTTTAACAGATCCAAAGCAGATTTGGAAACAGCAGCACGGGAGGGCACCGCTCCCCTCCTCCCCCCCTGCCCCCCGCAGCCCCCCCGGGGCTGAGCATCCCCAGGGACAGACCCGGGGTTGTGGTCCCTTGGTGCTGCGATGCCACTGGGCCACCATCCTGGGCCACCATCCCGGGCCACCATCCCGGCACACGGCTGGGAGAAACTGCTTGTCTGAGAGCTGGAGAAAGGAGGCGGCGATGGGGAAGAGGACACCCACACCCCCCCCCCCCAGTACCCCGGGGTGTCCCGGAGAGCGGTGCCAGGGTTTGCTGCTGGTTGGGGACATCTCGGCTGAACCCCCCCAACTTCCCGCAGCTGAATTCCTGTTAAACCTCCCCGTAAGGTACCGGAGGGCCGTGGATTCCTCCTTTGGCGGGTTTTAAGGGAGCGACTTGGTTTCAGCGAGGCCGAGCTACCTATAAGGACCGATTCTGGCTGTTTCGTCCTGAAAAATGTCGGTGGGATCCAGGTCTGGCGAGCCCAAGGACAGAGGCAGCTCTGTCCGGGCGGTTCCAGGCGGGAGCGCGGTGGCAGCCGACCCCGCGCCGGGGCAGGGCCAGGAACAAGGCGGCTTTCAGCTGCCTCCAGCCCACGGTGCCGTGCCGGTGGGGGGGGTGCCAGCACCCTCAATTCGAACATCCCACCGCCCCCCATCCCCGCTTTAACACCGCTCTCCCCAGCGCCAGCCCTGGCTCGGACCCAGTGGGCAAAGGGGCTGGCGCCGACGGAGGTGCCGCAGCCGAGGTCCCTCAGCGCCAGGCTGGGCTGGCGGCTCGGCGGGGATCCTCGCTGGGATTTGGGGAGCGGGATGGGGTGACCCCAAGAGTCCCCTGAGCGAGGGGCGTTTGCAAGGACGCTCGCTGCGGGGGCCGGCCCGGCGGGCCGCATCGCTTCCCCCTGGGGAGCTGTCGCTTCCTTGAGGGCTCCGTGCCAAATCCTCGCCTCCGGGACGCCGGTGCGGGGCTTTTGGCAGGAGGTTTGTGGCTCCTCGCTGGGATATCGCCACTGGCTGCCCCAGCTCTGCAGCGTCCGCTGGAGCAACCCCGCGCCCGTCTCCGGGGGGGGAAACTGAGGCAGCAGCTCCCGTCCTGCCGGGGCGGCAGGCAGGACAGGGTCCCCGTGTCGATGCGGGGACGTGGCGCTGACGGGGCTTTGGGTCAGCTGTGACCAGTGCCCAGAGTGGGACCCACGGGTGGGAGCTGCCGCGTCGGCTTGGCGGCGAGGGGAGGGGGCGAGAGGGACCCAGGGAAGAATTTACAGCCCGCAAAACAAACAGCAGCCTCTGCGTGAAGCTCCCTCCACCCCGTTTTCCTCTTTGCGGTGGAAATAGCTCGTTGCACAGCAAATGCAGCTCCAAGAAATTATAACTCGGACTTCTTTGGATTATTTGGGAGCAGGAAAGGGGAACAGAGGTGTTGGCTTTGCTGCTAAGAGCCTGGCAGGGGACGGCCGGGACCTCACCGCCCCGGCAGCCAGCTGGGCGGGATGGGGACGAGGCAGCAGGGCGAGGGATGGCTGCTTGCACAAGAATTACAAGAATGAAAAGCAAAAGAGATTTAGCCTTCCATGCCAAACTATCCCCTTCTCCCAAAGCCGCCCAGAGTAGCGTGGTGGCCCCAGGAGGTTTCCCGTGTGAAGGTGCTGCCCCGGGACACCTTGCCGGCGCACGAGAAGGCATTTTTAGGCGTGAGGTCCTGGTGATAGTTAAAGCCACGTTGCAGTTTTCTCTCTTCGTCTTCATTTCTGGCTGGATTTTGCACCTTTCCCTGCGGGGTAGAGGCACGCTCCTGCCTTCCCTCTTCCTTAAATATTTTCCAGGGAAACTTTTTTTGCCCCCAAATCAAAGCAAATGGCTGCTGAGGGGCTATAATTGCTGTCTGCTAAATCATCTTTTCTGGCTGATAAGTGCGTAGCAGGAGCCTGGCTCCGGTGCCTCGGCGGGTGCTCGGAGAAGGGCAGCGAGGGGCCGGTGCCCACGTCGGCAGCTCGCCCGGCGGTGCGGGTGCGTCGCACCCAGCTCGGCTCCGTGGAGCGCGGCCGATTCTCGGCTGGGGGTGGGAGTGGGAGTGTGCGTGGCAGCCACCCTCGCGGCCCACTCAAGCCCGTCCCGACCCAGCCATTTCCTCGAAAGGTTGTTTAAACAATTTGTAAAATTTTGTTCTTCACGTGCGGCCGAGAAGCAGGATTTTAATTAATTTGAACTGTGCTGAGACCGCGGAGCATCGACATTTTTCTCATTCTTAAGATTGCTGAGAGCCCAAAAGAGACTCACACAGATGCTCTTTTTCTTAAAGAACCCATCTTTAATTAATTAAGGATTAGAAAATGATTAGTGGATTGACTTGCAAATTCTTGGGAGTACTCTTTAGTCTGGGAGCGAAGGTTTGGCTGTTTGCAGGGGGCACAGGGTATTTTTCAAGCCTGATGCCCCTTTCATCCCCATCCTGGCAAGAGCTCAACCCTGTGCTGCACCTCATGCTGTCACAACAGGGACATAAATGGGATTTTCCATGTAAAACAGGGTGTTTGCAGGATAGTGCTGAGACTGAGAATGGAGGGACCGAGCCCTTCCCTTTCTTCTGACCAAATCCAGACACAGCAACTTTGGGCTCTGCAGGAAACGGCCCCATTTATCCCAGTCTTGCCCTTGAGTGCTGGCCGTGAGGCAGGCAAAGAGCACCCGGTGAGAAGAGCTTCATGTTAAACATAATTTTAATAATAATCAAAATAGTTGTGGGACACCAGGGGCTGATCCTTGCTATGTAAATGTGCTTGGTTTTGATGAAATGGAGGATCCCCTGTCCTGAGACACCCATGGCATCGCTCGGGGTGTTAGTATCAGGAGCGGTGCTGGAGAAACAAGGGAGGAGAAATCTCTGGATCTTTTTTCTTTTCTTTTGTGGGGGAGTTTCTTTAGTAGTTTTGAAAAATTTGGTAGTTTTCAGCCAACTATGCTGGAAGCACATCTGTGGGGACACATGTTGGGGCTGTCCCACGTGTCACATCATGCCCCTGGACGTGGACACGAATTTGCTGGCTGGGGGGGGTCTGTGGAGCTGGTGGGTGATGCTTCAGGGTGAGCAAATGGGGGGCAGCCAGACCAGCCGGGGCCAGAGCGGTCCCCCCGGGACACGGCCGAGGCTGCTGCTGCTGCCAGGATTTTGTGGCTGGTGAGAACAGGAATGTGGGACTGGGCACTCGTGGCAATCCTGGCCACCGTGTCCTGGGGGGGGGGGGGGATCCTCTGCCACACCCCACTGTGCTCTCAGTGGGTCCATCGCACTCCTCCATCCCGGCTGGAGCCCTTCGGAAGGCGCTGCCTTCCTCTCCCTGCGCCCCCGGGGAGTCGGCAAACCTGGGATTTCCACCTCTGGATCCACGCGGCCGCTTGCAGGGCTGGAGCCTGGAGCGGGTCTGGAGGAAATTTGGGGAAAATTTACATCCTTCTACCCTTTGCTGGGTTCCGGAGGGCAGATGCTGGGGCTCCTGGCTCCCTTGTCCCCTACCAGGGCGATGGGCACGTCACTTGAGCTGCCCACGGGCAAGCATCCCCCCATGGAATGCATTTATTTGTCTGCGTCCCAGGCAGGGTGCGGTGAGAATGGACTTTTTAATGTCTGCAGAGTGGCTGAAACGCGGTATGTGGACCCACTCCAAAATCTTTACGAGGCAGCAGAGAGTAAGCAGGGTGGTAGGTAGCCTTCATGGTCGCGGCCAAGTAAGGAGCTTGTCTCATACAGCTCCCACCCTATAAACAGCAGCTTCTCCCTGCACTGCTGGGCAAGTCAGGAGGAGTTTCTCGGCTCCAAGTGCAGGTCCTGCTGCTTCATACTCTCAGCCAGGCCACTGGGAGCTTCGCTTTCGTCCCTGTAATGAGATATGCTCCTTATTCCCTGAGGTTTAT